GAAACAAATATATTTAATTATACAGAAAATTAACAAATTAAATAGAAGTGTTCCTGTATTAACGTGAAATTGAGAAAGGTACAGTCTATCTACATACATACAAATCCACAAAAATACAAATGAGCTCACAGCTTCAAATACTACAGCTAGAAACCACTAGCCTGATAAACCAGACTAAATGTGAGATTAAATGTGTAATTCGCAGGCAAAAATGATTTTGGCCGCTGGTGGGTGGGGCTAGTTTACTAGGCTAGAAATATATTGCATCTTATATTGAGTGGAAAAAAAAGTAACTCAAAAAGTTTTAAAGGCTAATGCATAGAAGGAGTATAAAAGTAAATGGCATTATGAATGCACAATGTAGAAATAGAAAAATATTATAGCATTAACAGACATGTACTTGTTATTCAGTCTTCATGTGTAATCATGAAATTATATGTAGTATGTAAATACCATAACAATGTCATCAATACATGTATATTACATGTATATCATCAATTTAGCAATTTTGGCACATTTGTATTATTATGCTCCATTAATACATGAATTCTGTTGAGATGGATTTTTATGTCATATTATATGATGTGTAGACTTCATTGACTTCATAATGACTATGCAATGTGATGTGCCTATTTTCTTTTCTTAAATTACCGTGATTGCTAACATTTATGCAACCAAAATAAACACATATGGGAGGAATGCCGACATTAATGTTAAATCTAGCTGTCGTACCTTTAGGAAGTATTACACAATTATTGATTTTCTTATATAGACCTCTAATTGAATTCACAAATTTTTCCTCCAAAGCAAAAATATTTAAGTTCTGTAAACAAAAATTGTGCTCTACATAATCAAATGTTTTATAAAAATCTAAGAAAAGAATAAAACCATCATCATTAATTAAGTCTCTATATTAGATTAAATCCATTACTAGTCTAATATTGTTGTGGATCGTTGCTTTTAAGAAGCCAGACTGATTCTGCAACAATATTTGAGATTCCAGTTTATAAAGGTGCATGGTAAATATGTAGGTTAGCGGTTTATAATTGAGTTATAAGTGGGATAGGTCCTCTATTCTCAACGAGTCTTGGGTCTTTATCTGGTTTGGGGATTAAATAACACCTTGTCTCTTTGTAGGGGGTATGTTATGGTCACAGGTTTGTTTAAAGTCATCTTCAATTTTGGGAATACATTTTTCAATCTGGCTATAAAGACGACACATTTTGGTTCAAAAAATTTGGAGGTATATAATTTGTTATAAAATGTATAGATCTCTGTTGCTATTGTTTCTCACATTGTTGGTTTACTTGATTTCTGGACTTCAGATTTTTTGGCTTCAGTTGTAGAAAGATACGATCAGTAGTCTAGTTGTAAAAAAAGAAGAAGGAGGAAGGTGGAATTTTTATTTTTTTTGGAAGCATACATAGCCTAATTAATCTAATCTATTAACCTAAAGCAATATGTATGGTCTGGTTGTTCCATGTCAGGTACGTCAGTCATTGACCTTGACTAAGACACCTTACAGAACTGCATTCAGTCCCTGGACTGGCATGGCTATCACTGCCCCTACATAGTTAGCATGGCTATGAATGCCCCTACATAGTTAGCGTGGCTATCACTGCCCCTACATAGTTAGCATGGCTATGAATGCCCCTACATAGTTAGCATGGCTATCACTGCCCCTACATAGTTAGCATGGCTATCACTGCCCCTACATAGTTAGCATGGCTATCACTACCCCTACATAATTAGCATTGCCATCACTGCCCCTACAGAGTTAGCATGGCTATCACTGCACCTACTAAGTTAGAATGGCTAGCACTGCCTCTACAAAGTTAGCATGGCTATCACTGCCCCTACAGAGTTAGCATGGCTTTCACTGCCTACAGAGTTAGCATCTCTATCACTGCCCATACAGAGTTAGCATAGCTATCACTGCCCCTACATAGTTAGCATGGCTATGAATGCCCCTACAAAGTTAGCATGGCTATCACTGCCCCTACACAGTTAGCATGGCTATCAATGCACCTACATAGTTAGCATGGCTATCACTACCCCTACATAATTAGCATTGCTATCATGCCCCTACATAGTTAGCATGGCTAGCACTGCCTCTACATAGTTAGCATGCTATCACTGCCCCTACAGAGTTAGCATGGCTATCACTGCCCCTACAGAGTTAGCATGGCTATGACTGCCCCTACATAGTTAGCATGGTTATCACTGCCCCTACATAGTTAGCATGCTATCACTGCCCCTACATAGTTAGCATGGCTATCACTGCCCCTACAGTGTTAGCATGGCTAGCACTGCCCCTACAGAGTTAGCATGGCTATCACTGCCCCTACAGAGTTAGCATGGCTATCACTGCCCCTACAGAGTTAGCATGGCTATGACTGCCCCTACATAGTTAGCATGGCTATCACTGCCCCTTAATAGTTAGCATGCTATCACTGCCCCTACATAGTTAGCATGGCTATCACTGCCCCTACAGAGTTAGCATGCTATCACTGCCCCTACATAGTTAGCATGGTTATTACTGCTCCTACATAGTTAGCATGGTTATTACTGCTCCTACATAGTTAGCATGCTATCACTGCCCCTACATAGTTAGCATGGCTATCACTGCCCCTACAGAGTTAGCATGCTATCACTGCCCCTACATAGTTAGCATGGCTATCACTGCCCCTACAGAGTTAGCATGCTATCACTGCCCCTACATAGTTAGCATGGTTATTACTGCTCCTACATAGTTAGCATGGTTATTACTGCTCCTACATAGTTAGCATGGTTATTACTGCTCCTACATAGTTAGCATGGCTATCACTACCCCTACATAGTTAGCATGGCTATCACTGCTCCTACAGAGTTAGGGACTCATTTCCCACTGGCATCAGCTTCATAGTCATGGTAGGACACTTCTTTGATTTTATCTATTTTGCTTAGGCTACTTGCTACTAGCCCAAACTAGTCCGCCAAATGTTGAAAGGGCAATATTTTTGCCATTACTGTTAATATATAGTTATACACTATATTGCCAAAAGTATTTGCTCACCTGCCTTGACTCACATATGAGCTTAAGTGACATCCCGTTCCTAATCCATAGGGTTCAATATGACGTCGGTCCACCCTTTGCAGCTAGAACAGCTTCAACTCTTCTGGGAAGGCTGTCCACAAGGTTTAGGAGTGTGTTTATGGGAATTTTTGACCATTCTTCCAGAAGCGCATTTGTGAGGTCGCACACTGATGTTGGACGAGAAGGCCTGGCTCTCAGTCTCCGCTCTAATTCATCCCAAAGGTGTTCTATCGGGTTGAGGTCAGGACTCTGTGCAGGCCAGTCAAGTTCATCCACACCAGACTCTGTCATCCATGTCTTTATGGACCTTGCTTTGTGCACTGGTGCACAGTCATGTTGGAAGAGGAAGGGGCCAGCTCCAAACTGTTCCCACAAAGTTGGGAGCATGGAATTGTCCAAAATGTCTTGGTATGCTGAAGCATTCAGAGTTCCTTTCACTGGAACTAAGGGGCCAAGCCCAGCTCCTGAAAAACAACCTCACACCATAATCCCCCCTCCACCAAACTTTACACTTGGCACAATGCAGTCAGACAAGTACCGTTCTCCTGGCAACCGCCAAACCCAGACCCGTCCATCAGATTGCCAGATGGAGAAGCGCGATTCGTCACTCCAGAGAACGCGTCTCCACTGCTCTAGAGTCCAGTGGCGGCGTGCTTTACACCACCGCATCCGACGCTTTGCATTGCACTTGGTGATGTATGGCTTGGATGCAGCTGCTCGACCATGGAAACCCATTCCATGAAGCTCTCTGCGCACTGTTCTTGAGCTAATCTGAAGGCCACATGAAGTTTGGAGGTCTGTAGTGATTGACTCTGCAGAAAGTTGGCGACCTCTTCGCACTATGCGCGTCAGCATCCGCTGACCCCGCTCCGTCAGTTTACGTGGCCTACCTCTTCGTGGCTGAGTTGCTGTCGTTCCCAAACACTTCCATTTTCTTATAATACAGCTGACAGTTGACTGTGGAATATTTAGGAGCGAGGAAATTTCACGACTGGATTTGTTGCACAGGTGGCATCCTATCACAGTTCCACGCTGGAATTCACTGAGCTCCTGAGAGCGACCCATTCTTTCACAAATGTTTGTAAAAACAGTCTGCATGCCTAGGTGCTTGAATTTATACACCTGTGGCCATGGAAGTGATTGGAACACCTGATTCCAATAATTTGGATGGGTGAGCAAATACTTTTGGCAATATAGTGTATATACAGTTATAATCTTCATTCTGTACATGGCAGATATTTGGGAATGAAATGAAAATGCTGTCCTTCAGCTAAGAACAAAGTGTAATATTTTGATAAGGCTGGAGCCATGGATGTCTCCTCATCTGGTAATGTGTATGATGTAAAATAAGATGATGTGGCAGACTGGAGATGTATAAAATACCTTTTTAACTTTTAATCGGGGCCACTTCCTGAGTGTTGAGCCCGGAGGTGAGCAGCTGCCTTCTGTAAACCCTAAGCAACTTATCTGATCTGAGTAAGATTACAATTTCTATCAGACTCTGTTGTCATGTCTCCTGGTTATTTAATACATATAAGTCATGAAGTGTTATTTCAAGAGTTTTTCCCAAGTTATCTTTTTTCAGGGAAAAGAACCGGAGAGATGTCAAGGTGCATACACAGCATACACATCTTTAACAGTGCCAAACCATGAAAACTTAATTAAATCTGGATCACTGGCATGTGTAACATAGATTTACAATGGTTACTTCCATAATCATCATAAATAAATAACTATAGTTTAAACGACTTGAACAGAACCGTTATTCAGAAAATAATAACCGGTCTTACAGTTGTGCATCATCATGTTACTAATTTAATTTATATCAGCATTTTACATGGTATTTGGGTGGTCCACACGGTTCGAATGTGTTTTTTCCCACAGCTCCTGAATGCAGCAACAAGCTCCTAGTGACGGTGGAGGAGAGGCAGAGCAGCGGCAGGGAGGGAGGGACTCCCCAGCATCGTCTCATACCGTCGCTGGACAGAAAGGTGTGGGAATGACAGTCCTCTGAGATCCCTTCATGTAATATACGGTAAATCGGTAGTTTTATCGATGCTGTCACACTAAGATTGTTTACATTAGTTTAGTCGTTGCGTTAGTGCGGCTGCGCTCGGTTTCGATGCTACATTAGTTAGCTTTGCGTTAGCATAGCAGCCTGTGCTTTCTACAGCGGGAGGTTAGCAACAACAGGCTAGCGTTAGCTTTCCGGTCGGCGTTGTCATGTCATCCTTTACCCCAGATAGAAATTAAAGCAACAGAGTAACCAGCACTCTATCCCCACGGAGAACCCACGCTAGTGAAATGTGATTTTGCTGAACTGGATATAAGTAAGTGAAAGCTCTTCTCCCTTCTGCCCGTTTGACAGCTCCGTCTCCGCGGAGACATGGAGACGCCGGGGAGAATAGTGACCTCACCGGGTGCTCTGGACTTCACTGTGGAGAACGTGGAGAAGGTGAGTTTATCTGCTAACATCTTGTCATTCAGCTAATCAGTTTTTAGATTAAAATAAGAATTTTATTGAAATATAGCTTAGTTGGGGAAAAAAAACGAAATATTTTAACTTAACCTCTTAGGAATAGCTTGTTTTTTCTTTATTTATTGCAACAAATTCCACTGTAATTTGTGGATGTACAGAATTATATGTAATAATCTCATGTTTTACATTATAAAGTTAATATATTGTGTGTTTTTAATCTGAAGGAGTGGGTATAGTGTGCACTATGTGTGTGTGTGTTTGCACTGCCCTGTTAAGTGCCAGGTTCCTGTGATGAATTAGCCTTGTGGGCGGCCAGTGGCCTGGACATACCAAGGACTGATGGGTGGGTGGGGGGAGAGGATGGAAAGGAGGGATAGTGAAAGAGGTGCTCAGTGGATTGATGGAAGGAGATAAAGGTGAGGGATGTGTGAGTAGTGAACCAGGATGGAGCTTCAGGAGTTGATGTGACAGAAATGATTAAAGGCAGATCAGAGGGAGGATGCACATTCCTGCAAGGGAAGAGATTTAGTGTTGGGTTTCAGAGGTAAAAGGTAGATAGGATGTTTTTGCTCTTCAGCGTATTTAGATCATGGAACCACTGAGCATTTTGGCACCGTAACCTGTTATGTGCCCAGATTGTTTTGCAAAGAAATTAAAACAATTGTACAGAAAGATCTTATTTAAAAACTCCAAACACACAGAAGAATATGTTTCCCCTGTATAATTAAAGTGCCATAACCAATTTAGCACATATTAGATGGTAATATATAACATTATTTCCTGCAACATAATGACAGTAATAACCTTCTGCAATTATTTTTGCATTTTCTGTCCAGATAGCTTGTCTGAAATCAGCATTTTAATAGACCAGTCATTATTTACCTACTTGAGGTCTGAGACTGCGCTATTCTCTTAAGATTGATGGGGTGCTGCTTTCTTTTGTTTTCACCTCCATGTATGTTTTTTTGTTTTGTTTACAAAACTGACAAGATTTCCTTATTTCAACCAATAGATAGTGGACAATAATTGCATTAGCAGACATGCATGAGCTGCATGATCTTCTCTGCACAAACCATATTTGCAGCGTTGTCTGTAACTACAGGGTGTTTTCTGGTCAGCCCCCATTTGTTAAAGGAATAGTACACCCAAAACATGATTAGCCTTCATTTTCTACTCACCCCCATGCTGAACAACACCCTGGAGTACTTTTTTGATATCTCAAATGCATCTGGAGATCTGGGAGGCTTCTTGCTGTCTGCTGACATTCAAATAATGGAGGTCTATGGCGCCCGAGGCAGAAAGGTCCATAAAAGTCCACAAAAAACGTGTCAATATTCCTCCATACTGCTCGTCCAATGTATTCCAAGTGTCCTGAGTGGGTAGCATCCAGAATTTACTAGAAACAAAGTCATTTAGAATGTTTTTAGAGCATAAACAGTAGTGTATAGGATTTCCTGAAAGCGCGCGCCGGCACGTTCCTGACGCTATGGAAGCCGGCAGACCAAACCAGATGAAAGTGCGCATTCAGCGTCTGCTCTGCCGATAATGCAAGCGTAGAAGAAGAAATGTGCTGTTTACCTGTGCAAAGAAAGAAACAACGAAAGAAAAATGTCTGAGGACTTCAGTGTTGAGGAAGAGCATGAGTTCTTTGCCGAGCTGAATGCGCACTTTCATCTGGTTTGGTCTGCCGCGGTTTCCGTAGACTCGTGAACGCGCTTTTAGGAAATCCTATACACTACTGTTTATGCACTAAAAACATTCTAAATGACTTCGTTTCGAGTAAATTATGGACGCTACCCACTCAGGACACTTGGAATACATTGGACGAGCAGTATGGAGGAATATTGACACGTTTTTTGTGGACTTTTATGGACCTTTCTGCCTCGGGCGCCATAGACCTCCATTATTTGAATGTCAGCAGACAGCAAGAAGCCTCCCAGATCTCCAGATGCATTTGAGATATCAAAAAAGTACTCCAGAGTGTTGTTCAGCATGGGGGTGAGTAGAAAATGAAGGCTAATCATGTTCTGGGTGTACTATTCCTTTAATGTCAAACGATTGCATTTAATTACATTAATGTAGTCTTAGCAAAAGATGTGGATTTATTCAATTTATTTGTAAAAGGTTGGAAATGAGAAGTTTTTCTTTAAATTCTGTAAGGTTGGCTCTGTTGCTGTTCCAGCTACCATATATCACATTATTTCCAGCCTTCTTCTAGAAAATGGCAGGTTTTGCATGTGAACGAAAACAGTTTTGGAATCGATAATATCAGGCTGTAATTCCAGTGCTGTGTTACTGTTAGAATGGTTAATCTAGCTCCTAATGAATATTGGTATTAGTTTGCAAATGCAAAGAAAAATGCGTTGTTGTAGTCATCATCCAGTCAGTTATAATTGATCTTCAACCACTTTGGTAGTCGTTCTGGAACTACAGCACTGATGGTTTCTCCTTCTGTGAGCTGTTATTATAAATCATTTTAGAACGAAACCTTTAGGAAGTATTTTTATTATTTTTAGGTGTTATGGTCCTTTAAAAAACAAATCTGAATAGATCATTGTTGGAGTGGGCAGCTCTGGCCTAAACTTAAACTGGAAATCCCCATCAGCTTGATGGTGACCAGCATCACCATTTCAGATAAACGCTGGAAATAAAATGTTCTTTTAAAAAAAAAAATCTGTTTCCGTTTTTAAATTGTCACTTTCTGTTTAAATGATTTGAGCTATGTTAGTGTTTTTAAGATTGGACATAATTGTCCACTGTTAGTTTTTGACAAAGCGTGGACTTGTCAACATGGTGTTGGAGATGATGGTTCCTGGCCCAACGTTTGTCCAACAGAAAACTCTTTGTGTAGTTCTCGGTCCTCCAGACAGAGTCCCACATTGTTGGTGTCTTGGTGCATAAAGAAACGTGTTGAATACTATTTTACATTTATAACTGCAGTGGAAATGTGTGGCAGATTGATTTCAAAGCTCAGTCCTCGGTAGTGAGCATTTCAGAGTGATGTTGTACAGCTTACCCTGACCTGCCCGTTGTTCTGCTCTGCTGTGCTTGACTAGGGGTCACTTTCTTTCACGTTGCAGCGGTCTCCATGCCCTCACAGCACGATTTTTAAAAAGCCACCATTAGTGTCAGGGTCCATTCAGTCCTGCTCATTTTCCAGGCTTTGGACCTTTTTACTGTGCTTTGCTGAAAAAGAATGCAGGGATAGAATAAGAGGAATATGTTGCTTTCAGGATAAAAATTAAGAAGATGATTCAGAGTGAAACCTAACATGTTTATGGATGAGTGCAAAGTCAGTCACAGAAAAATATTTGATGGAGTTTAGGTAAAGAAACATGACCGATTTTCATCTTTACAGACTCAACTATTTGTGCTATACACAAATTAAAACAATTTCCCACATTTGACTTGGACAGATTATGAAAAGTTATTAAAAAATAAATAAATAAATAAAAAACCACCGTCGCATTCTATAAAGCCACTTAACGAGTCTGTGCAGCATCTCCAACCAGAGCAGATAGAGAATGTTCATATATTAAAAACATAATGAGATCTACGTCTAAAGAAAGAAAAAAAGCAATAAACGGCGAGGCAGAGAGGTGATTCTCAGAGACATCTGAGAAGTTTATCCAAGTTTTTCTTAATTTTTTTCATAAAGAGGTGAGAGAGATACGCTGCGCTTACCTGCTCCGTCTGCTCCTCGTTATTGTTTTTTGTGAGGCTCAAAGAGGATCACTACTTTATCTGTTTTCTGTCCTCCTGAACTCCTTTCATGGGGAAAGTTTTCTATATTTTAATGTTTCATTTATTGTTTTTGCACCAGTCTGTCCTGCTTAGGCCCCTTCCACGCGAAGTCAAACCCTGGCCTAAACGCACACATTTTTCACCAAACCAGCCTCTCATCCATACGAAGCCGGCGTTTCGGGGGTCTGTAAACGATCTTTTTTTTATTAAGCCTTCAGAGTGGGAAGATTTTGAAACGCCGTTTTCGCGTTTCCATCTTTAAGGTCTGACCGCATTTTTTTTTTTTACACGCATGCGTCATAGCGTCGCCTCTAAACATGCATGCGCGACACAGTATCACAACAACAATGGTGCCGTACTGTGTTGAATGGTTGCTGCTCATGCTACTCACCCTGCTGTCGGGCTTACAGCAGAATCTTCTTCTTCTGGAATATCTCCAGGAAGAACAGAGCAATATCGACGACATAGTTCAGCACCTGAATTTGACTGAACCACGAAAATGGACCCACAGGGCAACCATGTATAAATATTAGTGCGCATGCCCAACATTTCGTCGCCTATTTTTGCTTTGGCACCACAGCGCCACTTACAGGCCTGGCATACATTTTGCAGCGTTTTCATGCATTTGTGTGGACGATCACATTTATTTTACGTCTCCGTCTTTACGACAAACGTTTTGGAAAATATTAGCATTTCGTGTTCGTTTTGACTTCGTGTGGACGGGGCCTTACTATATACGCGATCTTCAACTTAAAATCTGACTCTTTCCCCGTGCGATTAACAGATTTTATTTTGTATTTTCCACCAAAGCGGATGTTTTACTTTGTAACCGCGCCTCTCTTCCTGTCAGACCCATGAAATTGCTGCTGAATTGCTGCATAGTCTGAATGAAATAGACCTGTGCTCTATCTCAGTCAGATCTATACAGCCCCCTTGCGTAAAATCGTGTCGGATGTGATCATCCCCATTTGTTTTTAATGAGCGCTAAACGCCACAACCTCGTCCGACATGATTTTCTGTTGGATCGGACGCAAAATCAGATTCGGTGTTTTCTGGCCTTAAGAGAAAACAAGACCTAAAGCAGATAACAGGAAGGCTTCATGTCAGAGCAGGAATTCTCTGAAAAAAACTTTGGAGAGTTTAGTCTTGAAACTGGATTATAAAATATTGGCAGCCTTTTGGAAGCCTTATAGTCAAAGTAAACAAACTAAATACTTCAGTAAAACCAGCCT